GGATGAGGGATGACACCTTGCAGGGATGCTGACAGCTCTCCTTTCTCTGGGGAAGATACAAACACGACACTGCCGGGCTTGTTTTCCAGCCTGGCTGTCACGTCATTCCCGAGGCGGTTCGGGTGGAGTGGGGCTATTTTCACACTCCTACCATGCTTTTAAAAATAGCTGGTTTTATTTCAATGCTCCTGGGATCTTCGGCTGTTTAAAATGATTAGTAAGTCGTAATGTAATAAAAGTTGTACCTGCTGATGCACGCTATTGTCATCAGCTTCTTCTCCACGTAATTCCCAATAAGGCGTGGAAATGTGTGAGGGTTGAGAAGGGGCTGCTTAGGCTGGACCTGACAGATCTGATGAGTTGTACAGTTCCCTGCAAGAAAAATTCCCCAGTTCTTGTTGTCCCACACAGTAATGGTGCTACTGGTGCGTTTTCAACCCTCTTACTCCCCCCCCTTTTCATTCTGGAGATGTTTCCACAGCCACACGTCCTCTGCACTGTCCCCGGGAGGTGGCTTAGCCTGTGTCTGTCCTGTAAAATCTTGCACGTGTCCCTATTTAAGTTGATCCTGTTATTTTAGGCTGTTTCTCAAGGTCATCCCAGTTTGGTGCCACCAGCATGTGCCTCTCCTCTTCATCCCAGCTGCTACAGCTGGGTGTGGAGCGGTGGGCTGCCTCACCTTGGCCACAGGGATAAGTGCTCTGCAAGGATGCATTTCCCTCAGGGGATGCATCTTCCATTAGCTGCTTCCTCACAGCTTTGTTTCCTGACCAGCCCCATGAGAACATAAAATGAGGCACTTCCAGGCCCATCACCACTGGAAAATGTCAAAGAGCCAACACGTATCCAACTCTTGGGCCAGAACCACGGACTTCTGAGAACTTTAATCAGAGCAGCTCACTCTTGTATTATTTATGCCACGGTGGTGCTCTGAGACCCACTGGAGCCAAGACAACATCACACCAGACATCCGCACAAAGCCGACATCCGCCTGGCAAAGCACCCAGGGATGAGGCTGGGAACTGTCTGCTCATCCACATGATCCACTGCCTGCCAGGTCAGGCACTCAGTTTGGCTTTGAGATCACCATCTACTGGCCCCTGAAACCTGTGAATCCATCTAGAGCCATTCCTGAGGCTACAGCAGGAAGTTTTCTCACCAGGATAAGCACCTTGCTCCTTGGGGACACCGGCTGTGGGCTGTGAAGCCCCGAGCGCCGAGGATGCCCTGCAGCCTCTTGTCCCTCTGGGCTCTGGGTGCCTGGGCTCCCACCAGCACTGCTTCATCCTGTCCCTCAGCGGCCACGCCAGGCCAGAGCTCAAGGTTGTCCCGGGAAGGCTGAGCAGAGGTCGGAGAGGGAGGATGTTCAATTAAAGCTGCTTAAAAAAGAAATCCAACTTTCCATATGCCTCTCTGGGGAATAAAAAAGCCCCAGAGCTGAGCGCAGATGGGGTGCCAGGCGGGGGACTGGGCACGGCCCCCACGGCAGAGGTGACTCCGGCTCAGCTGTTCCCACTGCCTGCGATCCGCAGGGATTGAGGTTGACTTTTGGTGTTTCCTTATGGAGAGTTGGACATTTGGCTCGGCAGAAATCCCCACGCAAGCTCAGGCAGTGGCCAGGCCTGTGACACAGTGTCCTCCAAGCTACTCATGGCTTCCAACGCTCCCTCTCCCCCCGGGGTGCCGGTGATGCAGGAGGCAGCTCTGCTGGTGCCTGGGTGGGCTCTTCCATGGGGACACCAGGCTGGAACGGTGGCACTGGGGGCTGTGGGAGGGCAAGGAGCCATCCCCCTTCTGCTGGTGGCCCCCACACCGACCCCTCCAGCTGGGAAAACCCAAGTGCGTCCCCACAGACAAGGAGTCATTCCCTGGCCGGCACCTTCTCCGGGAAGAGTTTCCCTGGGCAAAGGACTGGAGGATTCAGCCATGGTGTGGTGGAGGCGTCGGGCGGAGTGGCTGGGAGGTTGGCCCTCGTGTCGCTGTGCCACGTGTGCCATCTCACTCACACAGCCGCCCAGAATAGTGTCACCATCTGGTTCCAGCTGCCCAGGACGTGGGAACCTCCCCAGCCCCTTCTGCGATTACAAAAAGTGAATTCAAACATCAACTCAGCCGGACTCGGGCAGCCTTTATCCCTTTTTTTTTCTTTTTTTTTTAATAATTCAGGTTTGTCTCTCAGAGAAGAGAGAGGCAGATAATGTCTGCAGAGCATTTAATCTTCTGCCCAAAGAATAGCAGAGAGCAAATTAGGATCTACTCCAATTAATTTGCCTTGATGGGCAAAATCTGGAGAGCGGCCATATCTGGGAATTAGGAACAAAAGCAGGGAGTGTAAAGTAGGTCACCAGAGTTTCATAACCGGAAAGAGGGGTTTTCACAGCACACTGGGTGCTCCAGAGGCTCCCAGTGCCGGGGTCCACCAGTCTCTGTCCCCCAGACCCGCAGGTTTCAGCCTGGACAGTTGCTTTAAGATGCTGCCGGTGTGCAGGGAGCCAGTTGTTTGTTCTGGGGGCAGGAACGAGGACGCTGTCCCCTTCCACAACAGGACACAGCTGCAGGGCTGTCCCAAACCCTTGGACCCAATGGAAAGACAGGCACCAGCTCATCGTCCCAGTTCTGGAGCACCCAAAGAGCTTTCGGATGGTTGGCATGCCCATCCTTGCTGTCACACTGCCACCCTCAGCCCTGCAGGCACCTTCTCGAAGGAGGATTAGGTGTCACAGGTGGCAGTGGGGTTTGGACAGTGCTTTGCTAAGGACTCTTGCACTGTGGGGTATCACCAAGCAGTGGTGACCAACAGGCCCACCCCAGCCCAGCACCCTCAAATCCTAATCCCAATTCCCCAGACCCATCAGTGCCTGCAGGCACTGTGTGCTGACATATTCTGGTGTCACCTTCCAGCCGCAGGACACGTGTGGAAGCAGTGCCAAGGGTGTGAGCCACGTGACACGCGCTGGTGCTCGGGACACACGGTGACACGGTGACATGGCTAAGGGTGTGTGACACGTACGGTGACATCTTCCAGGACACGGGGCATGCGTGGCGTGTCTTTCCATAGGCAGAGTGAGGCGCCCGGAGCGTTCGGTGGGTGACAGCAGCTTTGATCCCGGGCTTTGATCCCAGCGGGATGGAAGCAGCACGGTTTATTGACGGCGAGTGTCACCGCCGTGGTGACAGCGTGTCACAGCACCGCACCAGTGGCGCTCCATCTCCCCGGCTGCCTCCCACTGCAGGACGCTGGGGAGCCCCCCCGGCAGTGATCCCACTGCTCCCACCGCTCCCATCCCCAGGGAGGTGCCGGCAGGCGCTGTGCGGTGCGTGGCCGGCGCCCGGCTGGCGTTTATCCTCTTAGCCGCCCTGCCGGGATCCGGCACTAATTCACCCTTAAACACAGGATTGTCGGGAACCGGGAAGGGAAGAATCGGCGGATTATCCCCCCAGCTCTGGCGTTAAACACGGGGAGCAGCAGCTGCTGGGTGAGGAGAGATGGGGCGGTGTCTTGCCTCGTGTCCCATGGGACGCCAGTCCCACCATCCCTCAGCGAGCTCAGATGTTTTGTGTCCCCCCCAAGTCAGCTCCAGGCTGGTAATTAAATAAATAACATGAAATAAATGTGGGGCTGCCCATAAAGCTGAGGGATTGACAGCAACTGCCCAGCCCTGAGGGATGCACCACAGCACAACAACCCCGGCAGTGTTTCTGGCCCCAGAGGTTGGCACGGGACCGGGACAGCCAGGGTGACATCCCAGAGGTCAGGGGTCACACATGACCAGACATCCCAGAGGTCAGGGGTCACACATGACCAGACCTCCCGGGAAGAGCTTTAACGATGAAACAAACGATAATTTTCCCTGGCTCAACAAAGACAGCAGTAACTGAGCTCCTCACTCACACACTGAAGGCTTTCGGCCACGGGCCAGCGGGAAAACATTTCCCTGGGCCAAAACCATGTGCCCAGCTCCTGGAATGTGTTTGGGACAGCCCTGAGGTCACCCCAGGAATCACAGAAACGGCAACAACTCACTACTCACAGCAGGTACGTAGGAGCTCATCGCTCCTGCTCGTGGCTGAGCCTGGCACAATCCACAGCATGGTGGCACTCGTGCTGGCCGGAGGATTTTCTCGCCTTTCCCAAGCAGGATCTTTTCCCACATGCGCAACAGATCTACCCACCACTGCTGGGAGCTGGGGTCTGCACCAGTGAGGAGCCCAGGTTCTGTGCAACAGCTGGAGTGGCCCATTTGCAATTCCAGTGGCCCTTTGGGGGCGGGGGGCCGATGGCTGTGTCCTGGAGTGTGGGGAGGCCCCTTGCCAGCCCACGCCTGGGGGACTGGGTTTGCACAAAGGGTTGTTTTGGTAGCTGGGAAAAAATATCTTAACTTTTCAGCATTAACAGGGATGGGAATTGCAGTGTCTTCCACCGATGGGCACACAAGTTTAACCAAGTTAAACTCCCACACATCACCTTGGTTCAACTTCAACAAGTCCCACTGGGACCTGGATGAAAGCTTCAGTTCCGGATTTTTTCACCTCTATCACTTTGGCTAAAAAAAAAACAAACCCTCTCTTCCCTGCAAACCCCAGTTTTCTTCATGACCATGAATACAGTAGGACTTAAATAAAAGGACTGGAAAATAGGATTCCTCACAGAAAATGTCACCGGAGTTGCCCATCAGAGGACAAGCTATCAGCTGCAAAAAAGACAAAAAGAGAAATACACGTCCTGTGCTTTCCTAAGGTGACCTTTAAAATGAAGAAACCATTTGTTTCACCCCTGAAGGGAATATCTTCTATATCTTCTATGCCCAGCCCTGAAAGCAGCTGTCAGGGAACACCAGGGCAGTGGGAATCCCCAGGACAGCCCTCCTGGGGCTCCTGGGGACAGAGCCACCAACCCTCCCTGCTGGCCCTGCTTGGTGACTGATCCAGGGAGCATCTCCTCTCCAATTCCTGGAGCTTGGGAAGGGTGTGAGGGGCATCCCATGGCAGAGAGACAGGAGAAATGTAAAAGTGTCTTTTAATATAAATATAGATCCATCTGAAGTGCTGCAGGAGAGGACCGTGCCCCACGAGGGATGCCCGGGATGGTGGGTGGGCTCAGTGGGTACCTCTTCCCAGCCAGCACCGGGGGGACCGACCCGGGGTGTCACCCGGGCACCCCCGGGCGGGCAGGGCTAGAGCCGGGCCACCAGCAGCGGCAGGGCCAGCAGGGCCAGGACACGGGGGTGCAGGGGGGTGGCCGAGCCCCGCAGCGTGGCCTGGTTGGTCTCAGCGGCCGGCGAGCCCCGGGCGCTGGCCAGGCGTCCCCGGGAGCTGCACAGCTCCTGCAGGTTCCCCTGGAACTGGATCTTGCGGGACTCCTGGCGCAGCGACTCCCAGATCGCAGACGCTTCCACGGGGCATTTCGACAGCACCTCGCTGGCGCAGGTGTGGAAGTCGTCCCAGGACCTGGGGAGGAGGGCAGGAGTGGGGGGGATGCTGGCGGCAGGTCACTCGGCCGTCCCAGCGGCTCCCACAGGGACGGGGACACTCACTTGCAGATGGTGTCCAGCTCCTGCGCCTCCTCGCCGCCCTCCTCCTGCTGCTGCCGGACGCTCTGGGCCATGCTGTCCCCCAGGCTGATGAGGCAGCCGGCGAAGCCCTTGTAGATGGTGTCGCACTGCCCGGCCATGCTCACGGGCTCCTGGCTCGCGGCTGGGGGGGCACAGAGAGGAGAGACGGAGCTGAGTCCCCGCGGACCCCCCCGACAGCATCGCCTGCCCGGCTCGGGGGTGACTGGGGGTGAGGGTGGCACGAGGTGGGGGTGACACCGGGGCTCTGAAACGTGGCGAGGGGCTTCTGCATCCCCCTGGACCCCCCGGCACCCCCTCCCTGGGCACTCGTAGCGAACCTTCGCTCCTGGCCCGGGACCCGGCGCGGCACAATGTGACGACCCCGCAGCGATGCTGCCATTAGCCACGGGGCTCCTGCCGGCCGCGTCGCCTCGGGCCTCCCCGGCTCTCCCCGGAGCCATCTGTCCCGGCCTTTATCCCCTGACAGCAAAGATTAATTTGTGACTACAACGGAAAAAAAAAAAAATCAGCAAACAAAGCAAAGGCTCAGCAAGCTGGAGTCCCTGCTCCGACTGCAGGGGGAGAGAGGGGGAAAGAGGAAAGGAAAAGGAAAGTGGAAAGGGGGAAGGGGAGATGGAGAAGGAAGAGGAAGGGAAGGGGGAAAGGAAAGAGAGAATGGAAGGGGAAGGGGGAAAGGGAGGGAAAAGGGAGGGAAGAGGAAGGGGAAGGGGGAATGGAAATGAGAAAGTGGAAGGGAGAAAGAGGAAAGGGAAAATGGAAACAAGAAGGGGAAGGGGGGAAGGGAAAGGGGAAGGAAAAGCACAAAAGGAAGAGGCACAAGTGCAACTCTGGCTGCTTTGTCCTGAGAAGCCTCAATTCCCTGCTCTGCTCCACAAAGGATTCACCACTGGCCATGGGATGATGGATGACAGGGTGTATTGGCCAGGGCTGTGAGTGCATCCATGGCCAGGGGAAGTCCCAAAAGAGCCAGTGTGTGGCTGGGTCACCAAAAAGGTGTGTGGCCGGGTCACAGGGAAACCCTGCATGGTCCCCAGCTCTGCCCCTGGGGTCCCACAGGGCCAGACAGATATGAGTTCCCTTGGCCAGTTCACGGGAGTTGTGAGACTTTTGGAAGGGCCATGAGTGTGTGCCAGGGAGGTCTCCAACTGAGGACAGTCCTGCTGGGGACCCCTGTGGGAGGGTGACCCCAGAAGGAGCTGAAAGTTGCCCGGTGGCTGCTGGGGCAGCCAGGATGTCTCCAGGGAACCGTGTGCCTGGCTGCTGGCATCCCATGCCTGCGCCCCTGGAACAAGGTCCTGAGCAAAGCACCTGTGGCCGAGACCAACAAGCCTGACAGCCCATCATGGGGCACAGCACATGTTTGTGATGAGAACCCCCGAGCACAGTCTCTGATATCGGACACGTGGGGCAAAAACAGAGCAGGTATCGATAAAGTGGGACCCATTGCTCCTCTTTTGACCCAGCCAAGCACATCTCCCACCAGCCCAGGGACACCAGCAGATGCCTACCCTCAGCCGGCTGGTCCCTGCTCCTCTGGGCTCCTCTAATTCCCGGCACGAGCCCTTCCCTCTGCCCAGCTCCCTTGGCACAAGGCTGGGCAGGGCAGGCAAGGAAGGAGAAACCAGGAGGGTAAATCATTTCCACTACCTCGCTGCAAAACCCCGGGGAAAAACCTGTCCCCCGGCTCCGTCAGGGAGAAAGCCCAAGGGAAACGCAGGGAGGAAGTTTCCCAGGGCGCTGCAGAGCATCGCTCGCTCCCAAGCGGGTGCCGACGCGGCTCCTGGGGAAGGATCGGAATCACCCACCCTCTGAGCCTGAAATCCTCCCGAAGCTCGGTGGCCCCTGTCCTCCACCCTCCGTGCGCCCGGACCAGGTTAACCCCAGCCCTCCCTCCCTCTTCAGGGCAGGGATGTCACTGGGTACCGCTTTGCCCCGCGTCCTCCCTCGGCTCACGGAGGAGCGGGAGAGTGTGGAGGGGACGCGCTGGTGCCGGTGAGGTGCAGGACCTGCTGGATGACCCTTCCCCAGCGGTCATGGTGACGGAGGGCAGCAGGGAAAGCCAGGAGGAACGCGGGGTGAGCACAGGGGCTGGTTCGGGACTGGAGAACCGGAGCAGAGGGACCCCGGACAGCGCTGCAAAGCCGGGTCGGAGCATCGCAGGACACGGGACAAGGGTGGGTGGATCGCTGAGCCGCGGGACAGCCGGGCAGCCCCGCTCCCCGCAGCTACGGGAGTGCGGGAGGCGCGGCGGCACCAGCGCCGGAGGCGGCCGGGGGTCCCGCTCCCACCCGCCAGCCCCCCCAGCCCCGGCGGTGTCCCCCGCAGCCCGGCCCCGCGGCACTCACCGAGGTGCAGGAGCAGCGGGCACACGACGCCGAGCAGCCGCCAGCAGCCGCCGCCCATGGTGCGGACCCCGCGCCGCCGCCGCCGAGTGCTCCGCGCCCGCCGCCCGCAGCCCCGGCCCCGCTCCCCGCCCCCGGCACCGCCCCGGGACCAGCCCCCGGCACCGGCTGAGCCCGCCCTGCCGAGGGGCGGAGGAGCCCCCGGGGCCGGACCCCGCTCCTTGCAGTTCATCACGGAATGGTTGGCGTTAGAAGGGACCTGAAAGATCACCTCGTTCCAAGCCCCTGCCATGGGCAGGGACACCTTCCACTAGACCAGGTCGCTCTAAGCCACAACCTGGCTTTGGGTACTTCCAGGGATGGGGCAGCTTCTCTGGGCAACCTGCGGCAGTACCTCACCATTCTCACAGGGGAGGATTTCTTCCTAATATCCAATCTAACCCTGCCCTCTGGCAGTTTGAAGCCATTCCCCCCTGTCCTGTCACTCCATGTCCTTGTCCAAGGTCCCTCTCCAGCTCTCTCGGAGCCCCTTTAGATATTGGAAGGTGCTCTAAGGTCTCCCCAGAGTATTTTCTTCTCTTTTCTGGGAGGGAGGAGCAGCAGGAGACATTTTTGCTGTGAAAAGGAGAATTAGTGTCCACTTCCCACAGCTGGCAGCCCACCACCACCTCCTGGCTCTCCCAGGAAGCAGAGATGGCTGGGCCCAGCTGGACTCACATAGGAAAGCTTGAAGAGAGAGTCAGGAGAAAATCTGGGAAGAGAGAGGGCATCCTGGCCTAGGCTCAAGCCTGGAGATGGTTTCATATCCTCAAAGGCCATGCAGTCTTCCCTCTATCACACAGCAGAAGAAGGTCCCCACTTTTTTTTCTCAAAAAGTTTTTTATTGAATTGTTCTTAATGTTATTTCAAAAAAAAAAAAAAGAAAAACAAAACAAAAAACTCAAACAAACAAAAAAAACCCCAAACAACAAAAAAACCTTCAAAATTTAGATAAAAAGAAAAACCTTGGCGTAAGAACCAAAACTAATGCCTGAAACATGGACATGCTCCGATGCACAACAGAACCAGTGGCCCCCCCGGGGCTCTGGCAGCTCGCTGCTGCCTGAGCACCCCAACCCAGAGCCTCCCCTCGGGGCACTCCAGAGGCAGCACCCCCTGCCCGACCCTGCCTCGGGTGGGCCAGACCCCCCAGTGCAGATCTGGAGTCAACCAACTTTGGAGTAACTAAGAACTAACTAACACACCTGAACTAACCGCTCCCGCTCAGCTGGTCCTGCGCCTCGGCCCCGCGGGGAGGAGGAGTCTGAGCCCTTCACTAAGATGTGGGTACAGGTTTCTGGTCAGCCAGGAGCACGTGTCCCCGGCAGCCCCCGCGCTCGGGGCTCAGCGCACACCTCCCTTCTCCTTTGCTGATGGCAGCAGACTCCAAACTTTGAAAGGGGTAAGAAAATCCATCGGCTTCTGCTGCGTGCGACTGGGACTGCCAGCCAGGCCTCGGGGACGGATGGGCAGGTGAACGAGAGATTTAACTCTCTCAAAAAGAGGCTATTTAGGAAAAAGAAGCCAAGTGAACGTTCAGTGACTATTTGGAACTATACACAGACGGCGTTCGCCTTAGAGACATCACACGTGTGTCAATAGATTTCCTGGCAAGAGCTCTTAACACAAGCCATACGTCGTTTGTAACTACTGATCTGCTGGGTGGGCTTGGGTGGAGCAGCCCACGAGGCAGCCAGGTCCTCCTAGGTCATGCTGGGGGTGACCAGGCCCTGGAGCATGATCATGAGGCGCCGCGCAGACTTGCCCAGAGGGTTGTGAGGTTCCACCTGGAGGAACTGGAAGAGCTTCTGCCGCACCTGGTTCATGACTGACCCCATGTGGTCTCGGGTGATGGGGTCACTTTGGTCCAGGTGCATCACTGCGTCCTCCAAGTAACTGAAGGAGAGAGAGCAAGGTTAGAACCAAACCCAACAAGAGATCCCAACCCTACTCGGTTCATTTTAGCATTGAAGATGCACAGTTCTGCTCCCCACCCACCCAAACTTTGCAGTATGTTCAACAGTCAGGAAATAAATTTTCCTGACTCACAGCAGAGTCCACCTATCCCTTCCTTGACATTTAAGGGCAGCCTACAGCTCCCAGCCTGCCCCACCTGCCACACAACCTGGCTGCTGGAACCAAAGAAGGAGAAACAGCAAGAACTCCCCACAGTGCTGGAGGTGGCTCTCAGTAGATATTTTCTTTGATGCCTTCACAGTGCATGCAGAATTAGTCACTCATTAGACAGCAAAACCCCTCAGCAGCAAGGCTTAGTTCGTGTAGGGTTATTTTTAAGGTCTATCCAAGAAGAAGTGGGGGAAGAGCAAGACTTTTACCAATAAGTCTCTCTGAAGCTCAGAGCCATCAGCTTTCAAACCACAGCCTCAGTAAGGCAATGTGGTCACTGCAGAAGGTTTCCACTAACAAACCAGTTTAAACTTCATAGCAACAGCTTTAGCCCCAGTTACCAACTTAACTGCAACTTGAATCTCTTTTCAGTTTTTCTGGCTTGCTTTATCTCTATTAAATCAAGTTTTTAACTCAACTCATTTTTCCATCCAAGCCATGTCAAAACCTGTAGGAACCTTAACAAGTTAGTTTTTTAGGGCAGATAACAGGGTTTTGACTCACTTACTAAAAATGTTCATGGCAAGTATCAGCACAGTCACTATTTTGTCACACAAGCTTTGCTTGGAACATCTACCAGACACTATTGGAGTAGCTCCTGCTGCCACCTCCCACTGAGCCTTTCTGGGAGTCACGATGAGAAACTGCCAACACAAAGTCCAGTGACAGGTTAAGAATTGAGGACAGAGCAAAGCTGCTCTGGATACTATACTATCCAGGGAACATGGCACTATCCCTATTTTTGCCTCCCCAGAGGAATTGTTCCTCGGGGAAAGGGCATCACTGCACAGACTGCAAATATTTACAGGCTGCAATCCCGGAGGTACCGGCACCTACAGCTGGGTACTCCTTGCACTACTCCCTCTGGGCAGCAAAGCTTTCCGTGGCAATGCTGGCACATTTTTCCAAGTTCCTGGTTGTAAACATGCCAGTAACAGGCTACAGAAGCTCCAACTTTTGTTGAAGCACCACCTTTCACTTCCAGGCAGTAAATTTAAAGCCAGTGCCAGAAACAGAACCCGATACTCTGATCATACTCACTTCAACTTCAGTTCTGTACGAGTGCCCAAATCCGAGGAGAGCTGCTGGATGAGGGAGAGCAGCACAGGCTGGGACAGAGGGCAGGGATGCTGTCCAAATACTTGCTGAGTATCCACAGTCTCACAGACATACAGAACCAGGTTGAGATCAGCTGCTGTTAGAGCCTGCAAGGAAGACACAGCTACAAATGCAGAGGAACCAACAGGCAGATGAGGGACATGGGACCTGCCCTCTGCCCTGAGGCACTAAATGGCTCAACAGCCTCCTCTGGGAGCAAACTCTGCTCCTGTGCTGTACATGCCAGCAGGGCCATGTTTAGGCTCCTGGTCTATGCTCTAAGGATACCTGTGTCTGTTCCAAGCTGAACAGGGCACAACCAGACAGAGGGGAGTGGGTTACTGTCAGCAGCATGGAGAGGGCCATGCTTGCAGCCCCTGTCAGCCCACAGGCATGGCAGTGTTATCATTCACAGAGAAGTTTGCCTGCAGCAGCTCAAACACATCTGCCTACACAGCCAAAGGCAAAGGCAGGGCCAGGCCCCAGCTGGTAGATCTGCCTGGAGAGGCTTATGAAGCTGCTGTTCCTCAGGGGTGCACCACGTGCCACCACGATGGCAAAACACGCTGGTTCGCTGGAGTGCTGCCACTGTCCTGACAGGGCACGGGCAGGGATGAAGGAACTTCACTGTTACCAAACCATGGAACCTGCATGGCTCTGGTTCCACCTGCACGAGAGCAACTCAAGCAGTCCACTGCCACAGGTCTTTTCAGCCAACTCCTGTGTAAGCTGAGTGGAACTATATCCCCGCCCTACGGAGCCCCTTTTCCTCCCCATTCCCCAGCAAGCAGCAACTGACTGCCAGAAAAACGAGGTACCTGCTGGAAAGCTTGGTTGAGGTGTCCCTGCTGGAGCAGCTGAAGGATGTGAGTCTGCTGGGACTGGAAATCCAAGTGAGTAGAGGGGATGGGCGTCCCGGCTGCCGAGCGCATTGCCTGGACGATGCTGGAGGTGACAGCTGCCTGCTGCTCCTTCATAGCCAGGCTCACTTCTCCTTTAACCACTCTCTGCACCTGGGCCAAAATAGACTCCTGCATGCTAAAAAAAACAAAGCAGAACAAAACCCATGGGCGTCTCAGAGAACGAAGAGCTGAGGGACAACACTGCACAAAGCTGGTCCCAGCGAGAAAGCACAGGCTGGTTTGCTTTTTGTAGTGTGGCTCCCAAAGGGTTCAAACAAGTAACTCTGAGGCACAGGCATCAGAACTCGGTGGTTCTGATGGCCAACACCACCATGTCCCAGGGTGTGCATGCAAGATGCTGGGACTCTGTGCAGGAGGAAAGTGATGTTTCAGGGAACTAAGTCTCTCATTTCACGTTTTAAATCTTTAATGTTTCTGGCTTACAAGCAAGGTCACTAAGCCGTGGGGTCATCCCCAAACGGGCCCAGGTTCCTGCATCAGATCCATCAGATGCAGTTCCTGGTGTGCAGATGACACCTTTGGAATGAAAACACACACTGTGCCGGTGACTTCTCCACAGAAGAGCAGCTCACAGTGCAGGCTCTGCTGCTGTGTGTCACACCTTTCCCCCACAAGGGCTGGATTCTCCCCTCTTACGAAGGGCACAAGGCATCAAACCTGCTGTCCTGCAGGTAGAATTGCAGGACCTCCCTGGGAGCAAGCACAGCCCATGCAACAAGACCAGGATTTATTTGGGTGGCCTTCATGGCAACTCTGGCCTGCATGGACGACCCCATTGTGCTCTGATGGATGTTCTAGTGGCCTCAAATTGGGGTGTTCTGCCCTGCAGGTGACCACCAGCCAATTTTAACACCTGGCAACCTGCCACCAGCCTCACAGCATGAACGTGCT